AAATATGACAACTGGGATATTATACAATACATGTAACATGTGATAGTATGTTAAGTTTTTTTTTTTGGTCATTCTAATCTACATGTATGTACAGTATTTGATTGTTGAGCCAGAATTCATGATAATACCTTCATTCCATAAATAATTCATGTTTGATTTCCTTAAATTTAATCATGAAGGAGTATACTGAACTGTGCATTACCTGAATATCTTGATGTTCTTCCTTACAGGTGTTGGTGACACTTCCCCTGGCTGTATTACAAGATGACGATGTGGAGTTTGTCCCCACCCTGCCAGACTGGAAGTCAAAGGCCATGAGGTCATTAGGGGTCGGGAAGATAGAAAAGGTAAAGTACTGTAGATCATGAAATTTTTGTGACGCCTTATTTTGGTAAGATTGTCATTTACTCTTTATTGGTGAGATATAATTTTCACAAATTGTTATTCCTCTATATAATCATATGGAATTCTATTATACATGAGAATGAAATTTTTGCGAGCTCATTGTCTCTAGTAATTATGCGAAAATAAAGTTCTCACAAATAAAAAGTGATTACCAGTAGATAAAATTTTAAGGCTATTTTGGATGGATTCTAAATTTTTGAAATGTAAGAAAATGGGTTGAATTTCTTGAAATTACCACTGGTTTTTTTTCAGGTCATATTGAGATTCCCCAGACCCTTCTGGAGGAATAAGATTAAAGACTGTAAAGTGTTTGGACATATTCCTAATGAGCTGGAGAATAGGGGATACTTCAATGTGTTCTATGATTTCTCTGTGGAGAAGGTCAGTATCATTTAGATCAGTAGATCATGTTCAGAAATGCATGTTAATAGAGAAGAAACACCAATATTTAAGATCCTTTTTGATTTTCAAATTGTGTAATAAGAAAATAAATGCGTTTTAAATGGGAAAAAAAATATTCAAAAAAATTTTGTTTAAATAAAACTTAAAAGTAATGATCAAGGGATCAAGGAAATATCTTTCAAGGTATTTTTATATCCCCCGCAAACGAAGTTTGGGGGGGTATATAGGAATCACCTTGTCCGTCTGACTGTGAAAACGTGTCCGGTCCATATCTTTCTTAAGGAGGAACATTAGAATCTACTACTCCACACAAAGATTGCCCATGACCTAAGGGTGTGTCTTGACCTTGACCCTAGGTCATTTGAGGAAGTTCAAGGTCACTGGAAGAAAAAATTCATAATTCGTATCCGGTCCATATCTTTCTTATGGATAAACTTGGTAGGTTCTAATTTCACACAAAGATTGCTTATAACCTAAGAGTGTGTCATGACCTAGACCCAAGGTCATTTGGGGAAGTTCAAGGTCACTGGAAGAAAAATTTCATAATTTTTGTCCGGTCCATACCTTTCTTATGGATAAACTTGGTAGGTTCTCATTTCACACAAAGATTGCTCATGACCTAAGGATGTGTCATGACCTTGGGTCAAGGTCATTTGGGGAAGTTCAAGGTCACTGGAAGAAAAATTTTATAATTTGTGTCCGGTCTATATCTTTCTTTATTTTTATGACCTGAGGTTGTGTCATGACTTTGAACCAAGGTCATTTATGCAAGTTCAAGGTCACTGACGGAAAAAGTGTATAATTCGTGTCTGGTCCATAGATTTAGTCTATTTTTTTATTAGGCTGTGCCTTCGTTTCATTTATAAAAAATATAATGAGCAATTACATTTGCGTAAAAATGTTTTAGCATTTCTATCTTCTCTTAGATCCATAAAGTATTCATGATTTAGCACTTCTGAAAAACCCAGCAGGGGGTATTTTGTCCCGTTTGGACAGTTCTAGTTATTGTTTTGTTTAAATACACATTGCATTATTTCCCAGTAATCTAAATCAATCAGTTTTCTCATTTCAATCTAAGCCTGGTTTTCTTGTAGGTGGAGAAGATGTATATTTTGGTGACCCATCTAACAGGAAATGCCCTCATTCTACGGGAAAGGTTAGACAGGGATATAGTGGCTGCCTGTATGGAGGTCCTCAAACTTATGTTCCCAGAGGAGGTATGTTTGTAAATATAAATGGAATGAAATGAATGTAGCAAAAATATGTGTTTTCTTTGTTTCTTCAGTTAGTTACACAAAATCTAATTGATTTTCTATCAAAATAAAATGCAGGGATACAAATTTCACTTTAAAATGTTTTAAATGTACTTGTATATGTCTTAAAAAAAATTCAACATTCAATACTTTATGTTTGCAGACAGTCCCAAAGCCACTGGATTATTTTGTTACAAAATGGACTAAAGAGCTGTTCTCCAAGATGTCCTATAGTTACATACCCATAGGAGTGGATGGGGATGCCTATGATATCATGTCACAGGACGTGGCGTCCAAAATCTACTTCGCTGGAGAGGTAAGTCACAGACATGATTCTTAGTTCTCTGTTGTGTTTTTTACCCTTTAAATCTCCTAAAGAACAGCTAATGTATTGTATTTATAACAGCATTAGTATAATCACAGACTAAATAATTGTCTAAAGGATTAGTCGGCGATAAAATTACATTTTTTCCAAGTAATTAAAACTTAATTTCACTCATTCTGGAAAACAGAATTAAAAAAAAAAACAACATTTTTTTTATCTTATCAACTTACGTTTTGGTGTTAATGATATACTGAGGGTACATTGTTGTGTATTGCAGGCTACAAATCGTCAGTTTCCCCAGTATGTTACGGGAGCGTACATTAGTGGAATACGAGAGGCACACAAAATCTTCTCCACGCTCGTAGAAGACGACACGTGAAACTGACAACATGGACTAGATCATGTTTTAACGAAAGTTACTTAAGTTCCTAAATGGCAGTGAAATTGACAGTCTCCATTGACAATTGACGGTCAGCAAAGGTTCGTAATATGTACTACCTCAGCACTTGCCAAGAGTGAATGTTGATGGACTTGGGAAGATAAATACAAACCTTAACTTGATAAAAGACTTTCATATGAGAGAAATAATACAAGATGACCCTTTTCATCTTCTTGTAATTGTCATCCAAAAAAAACAAACACACAAAAACAGCAACATGCTCTTTTGTAAAAATTTAAATGCTAAGGTTTGATGTCTGTGAAATAATTTTGTATTTAACATTTTTATGGAGAAAATCTTCACCATTTGTTCATGTACTCTTATGTATAAAAATTTTAGGTGTCATTGATCATTAATCAACAATTGCAAATGACAAACAAAAAAGGTCTGAATAATCAGTTCATTTATGACAGATTTTCTTATGTTTCATTTACATGTAAATAACTCATCATTCAGTTGTCATCTCTCATTTTGTATTATTGAACATACATGTATCTCTCAAATATCCATAACTTGTTGTACAAATTGCATATAGTATTTTAAAATACATGTATATCAATGTAGTTACAAAGTCTTCATATCAGCATCTGTTCTAACAAATGTTATTATTGAATTGTAGAATTCAATGCCAAAATTAAACTAAAAATATGAATTAATAAGATGTGTTTGTGAATTAATTTGACTATAGATGACAATTACTCAGAGTTTTAGTTGACACAAACAAGTAGTTTAGCTCACCTTAGCTAAAGCTCAACTGAGCTTTCCTAATCACCCATTGTCCTTCCGTCCATCTTTAAACTTTTCACAATTTCATCTTCTTCTTGAGTACTACTGAGCCAATTTTAACCAAATTTGTTACAAAGCATTTATTGGGGAAAGTAGAGTTTAAACTCCCCAAGTCCTCTTCCAAGGGGAGATAAACAAGAAAAGACAAAAATAGGGTGGGGTCATTAAAAAATCTTCTCAAGAACCACTGGGCCAGAAAAGCTGAAACTTTTGTGGAAGCATCCTCAGGGGTAGTGTAGATTCTAAATTGTTAAATCATGATCTCTGGGGGTAGGGCGGGGCCACAAAAGGAAACCTAAGTTTTACATTGAAATGTGTAGGAAAAGTCTTCTGAAGAACCACTGGGCCAGAAAAGCTGAAACTTAAGTGGAAGCATCCCGAGTTGTGTAGATTCTAAATTGTTCCAATAATGTTCCACAAGAGCCACAATAGGGAATCCAGGTTTTACCTTGAAATATATGGATAAAAATTTTAACAATCTTCTTCTCAAGAACCACTGGACAAGAAAAGCTGACATATGTCAAAACATCCATAGGTAGTGTATATTTTCGAAAATTGTCCAAATTATGATCCCTGGGGTAGGGTCACAATAGATATTACAAGAGTCACAGTAGGTGTTACAAAGGGGAAATCTGGTGAAGAACAGCATGGCCAAAGCTACTCAAGTAAGCGTTGTGGACCACGGGCCTATTGTTTCATTTAACTAAAGTATAAAAGACATCCTTTAAATTTGTACTAACAACCATATGTATAATAAAAAGAACAGGAAAGGTTTATTGAAAAAGTTTGTTCAGGTTTACTCTGAATATAAAGCGCTTTATTGTTTGAAACATTGGGGATGACAAAGTGAAGTTAGAACTGGCATGTACAAGCAAGCTACTAAATTGTCGCCGATTACCAAAAAAACTATTTTGTTGATCCTTGTCTGCTTTTTTGTGCAGTGGGCAAAACGTCTTATGAAAGATTGGGGGGGGGGGCTCAAAATCCAAGTACGGAACATGTACTCGCGTCCTTCGAAACATGCCATATAAACAGATGTCCCATGTCGCAGTAGATGGCTGGCACGAAAAATTTATTTTTCGAAGGAACGTGAAACAAAACCAAATAATATGGTAAAATTGCGCAATTTTCATATCTTGCATCGTTATGCTTAGACCCGGAACCTTATCAAACTGTTTTATGTATCAGCTGGTCAAATAAATCATGGAAAGGATTTTCAGAAAAGGAAATAAAAAGGATTATAAATCTCTGACATTTCCCTGAATCAAGATATTTACAACATTTTTAGATCTTCTATTTTTTCATTGTTTGTTTGTCGGACCCAAGAACCAAACTGTCTGCCTGAAGCCGAAGGCAGACAGTTTGCTTCGAGGGTCGACAAAACGCATTTGAAGCCGAAGGGTCGACAAAACGCATTTGAAGCCGAAGGCAGACAGCTTGTTCGAGGGTCTACAAAATGCATTTTGCCCGAGAACTCTGTCAATAAATGTTTTGTTATACCTTTCATTTTATTTTAATTTTTGACATACACATGTATTTTTTACTGTCTTCTGTGATGTCACCTCGGGTTCGTCACTGTTGAACACCAACGAATGAAAATGAGCTCCGCCCATTCTGTGACGTAGCGGTGCAACATCTCATCGACCGGTCCAACATCTCACTAAGTGGTCAAACATCGATTTTTTTATGCCCACTCAGCTAAACATTAGAAATGTTAGACTTTTTCGTATAGATTTATACAGGAACAATTTTTTAAAGGTAAAGCAATTATAATTGTTCCCGTTTTACCCTTTTCTACGCTCCAGTACTCACCCCCTTTTTAAAACGAAATACTAGTATTACTAATATTACGAATAATCAATTTGAAATTACTAGCTATCAATTTGAAGGAAAATAAACATTCATCTTGAATTTACAAATTATTTCAAATTACAAATTTCTTGTAATAAATTAATAAATTCTACATATATTTGTTAATAGTTTATTACCAAACAATTTGTAATCGGTTTGTGTCTTTTTCCATAATCTTTTTAATCGGACATTGAGGGGATGTGGAAATATCTGGAACCTTCCTTAACTAAATGACATTTTGATTTCTTAAGATAAATATTTTACGTGTATACATGTCCATATTCAGGGTTATCATGTGGTGGATAGGAGTGCGAGGACGGGGCTACGAGCAATACACCTCTATTTTGCCCGTTTTTTCTGACTTTTGTTTTGGTATTGTTTAATACATTTTAATTCATTTCTTCAAATTTCATAAAACATTCCTAAGATAGACGAGCAAAGAAGAATTGTTAGAAAAATAAATATTGAAAAAAATGCTTCAATTGAAAGAGAACATAGATTTATTTTAATGATATTTATGATCAACTGCTTATAGATCCTTGTCTGTCCCCAGATACACCCCACCAAAATTTCTGGATCCACCTCTCATCTTGGTGTTGCAGTGATTCTTTTCAAATGTCAATCCATTAACTTTTTTCCCCAGTTATAGTGTTAACTCCTGTTACTTTTTTAACAATCTTGAGGCAATACTATTAGTAGTAATTTCGTCACTGACCAACCGAACCAAATTCGCGTGGGGTCAAACCTGGTTTATGAGGAAACATAAAATATGTGTTAAAATGTATTGTCCAACAAGATTAAACAGAGAAGAAGAAAGTTTTGTTCCTAACATTTCTATCCTTGGAAAAAACCCTTCTAATTACAGGCCAGCTGTAATGATATCATCTTCTGTCAATTCACACTTCTCAAATAGCTGTGTAATGATATGTAATCAGTAATCATTTAGGAATATGTCCCTTTTCAATATACTTGAAAAGTCGCATAGCCTCCAGTTTCGAAAAATTAAACTCTTTCTGCAGATCTTCAACACTTAGTCCCGCTAATATTTCACCATCCACCATTTCTTCCTCAAACCTTTCAACGTATTTATTCAAACGCAAACGGCATAAAACCTCTCCGATATCTTGTATACTTTTCTCTTCAATATCGAATGCGTTTGTGGTGTTTGTTACTAATGGCTTTTTACAGTGTTCAGGTTCGTCCGCACATGACGTTGAATGCCCCCTTTCACGAGCAGGAGGCGTAGTGTCTTTAGGAGTCGGGGCACCTGTATTTGGTAAGGATCTACTCCGTACGTTAGGCTTTTCCACAGGTCTAGGAGGAGGAGGGGTCTCATCGGGTTTACTGATCACAACAGGTTTTGAAGGAGTTGTATTTTCATCAGGGTTTTCCATTGGTTCATACATGTCCCCTTCCTCGTCGTCTGCATCATCCTGTCCAGCAACCAATGGTTTCACTTGACACAACCTATCGTTGACGTAACTTGGCGTTCCCGCCGCTGCCGCTACCCGATATGTGTCGACCTCTTCCATTGGCTGTTCCATGACCTCGTAATCCTCCCCATCATCATCATCTCCTTCCTGTCTTGCTTTCTTGAGCGACTGCCCTCTGACAGGAATTGAAGGAGGGGGGTGGCTCACAGTAGTCTCGTTTTGGTAAGTTTGGAGAACGTCTTTAAGTTCATCTGCATCGGGTTTTAGAATCTTGATTGCTGTAAAAACGAACAGAAAAACGTACCCAACAATAACATTTCACTTAAATAATAGAAGATACAGAAGCAAACAGTTATAACAACATAAATATGTTTAAGTCAAGTGCTATACTAGAATTTCACTGAGTATTCGGGATTTATTGTAAAAAGTTGGGCATATTAAAAGGATGTTACCTAAATTGCATTGACTTTCAGAAAACACAGTGTTTTTGTTGACGTAACCCTCTAGCTTCTTGAGGTATTTATCGTACTCCTTCTTTGTTCGGTCAGTAAAACCTTGAATCGGGGCCACTGAGATTAGTGGACACAGGCTAAAACTGGACGGATGTTTGGTTATCTTGCCTATAATAGAAAAAAACGATTTTCAAAAAAATTAATTTAATTCAGTCAGTATTATCACAACATCAGAGTTCCTTTGTCAGTCAATTGCCATGGAACCCCAGACAAATTTCACTTTATATTTTGGGGGCCGACAGCAGCTTTTTTTAGTACAATTCTCAGTTAACCTTGGACTTTCAGTAAGGCGTGGTATTCTCGACGTCACATAATTAGCGTCTGAAATTTACACAGCTTTTATTCACTGTTGAAATATACATGTCGTCTCATCGTTGTCAACAATTTGAAGTTCTTGATATTATTTAATTTCTTAACCTGTGAGAATCTATTCGCCATTTGACCGACGCTAACTTCGTAGCACCGAGAATGCCAGTCTTACTGAAACTTCAAGGTTAACTGAGAATTGTACTATCGTTCAGACAATGAGGTACACGTGTAATTTAGGCGTGAATTTGCTGTTTACATTTTCTGAGAAGCAAGCCCCCTCCCCCAAAAAAAGCGAACGAAATTTGTCAGGGGTCCCGAGACAACTAGTTGATATAGGACCCCTGACATTAATGCCCAGAAGTACATTCTCGTACTCTTTTTTAAATTTTGTCATGTACAAACGGCCCTCAAAACACACTTCACCTATGGTATACTGGAAGAGATCTTCATATATTTTAGTCTCTGTGATGTACATGTATAAATATATATGGCACACCGGTTTTTAAAGAAAATGACTTGTTATTGTTATATGACAGAGTAATAAAACAAGCCGTCTTGACATTACCTTCCGTGATAAAATTCCCTTGTATGAAAACTTCCTCGTACACGTGCGTAATAAGAAGCTGATAGGGCGTCCCTTCCCTGTTTCTGCCCTCGGAGGGAATCTCCTGAGACTCGGAGAACTGTATAAGTACAGGTAACGG